GTTATATAATAATGGGAATATAATTTGCCTGTTAGCGAACTGTGTCCCTGTAGGGTGGTAAAACATATCAAAACACAATAAGCATAAAACTGTTTGTTCTCGAGTTCGAGTTGTGGCACTTGCTCGTCACGTACATGTACCTACCCTGTGGTGCTTCGGTTACAACCGTATTTTAGATTTTATATCCCATTTCAAATTTCAGTTTATTCCATTATTCACTTTACATATGAAAGACGTGTTTAATTACATATTTATTCATATAGTGTTATTTTCACTCCGTCTTTCTATTTTCAGTTTATTTTTAATCATTTACTTTGTGTTTTCATTCCTACTGCACTCATTTCCATCTTGGCGATAAAAAACTATTGTCACGTACACCCAATAGAGAGGCTTACGGTGTCCTCCTCAAGTAATGAAGACTTTTCATAACTTTTCTTTATTAAGCACCAAAGTGCATACCTTATACTACGTGTATCTAAATATAGCTAGATGATATGTATTAACCTCCATACCAAATCTTTCTCTTTTATTTCTCTTCTTTAAGGTATTGGTCCTAGAAACCACGTCTCTGTCCAAGATCCTAACGGAAGATTACCTAACGTGCAGCATATGCCTTGAAAGGTTCAAAGACCCCAAGGTCCTCAGCTGTTCACATACGTTTTGCCAGCACTGCCTCCAAGACCGTTTAGACAGAAATTTCTGAGGTCAGCCTGGCTTCCTTTGTCCTCTCTGTAGACGTCAGTGTGACCTCCCTAGGGGCGGTGTAAATTGTTTGCAAACAAATCAACTTCTGGTCAGCATATTACACACACTTGGACAAATAGATCAAGCTAAAGCTGCCAAGAAATGCGAGGTATGTTGCCTGAAAAACACCCACAATTCGCCGACGGCAACCAAACGCTGTTTGGACTGCGAGGAAAGTATGTGTGGAGATTGTTCTTCGGAACATGTGCTTCATAAGTTAAATCGTGACCACAAACTGTTTCCTGTCGACCAGTTTGACAGCGACGAATACGTGACAGAGCTGCGTGCCCGACAAAACATCCTTTGTGACCACAACAACAAGGACCCCGTAGAAATCTTCTGTCCAAGGAGTAAAAAGTTCATATGTGTCGGTTGTATGGTTTTAGACCACAAGGATCATGATTGCCTAAGAATCAATATTGCTGCCGACAAACGCAAGGAAAAACTAAAACTCCACGTGAAACCCATCGAGAAGAAAAGTATACTCTGCGATCAGTTTAAAACCGCTGCTGAAGACAAGAAAGCTTCAGTAGAAAAGGGAAGAAAGAAGGCAAAGAATCAAGTTAACAAGCAGTTACAGCTAGTTATGAAGATGGTCCGTCAACGTGCTGATGATCTTCTGGAAGAAAAAGATGCCAAGTCGAACGCCATACTGGAAGTTTTAGATGGTTTAATTGCAACTGCTACCGCCACCCAAAACCAACTGGACGACGTTGTAGACCTCGCGAGAAAGCTCATAAACCACGGGAACGATACGGACCACGTGAGAATATTCTACAGTGAGTCGCCACATGCAGTAGCGGTCAACAGCCAGAGTCACTATGTAGTGGTCGGTGACCGTAGTCTGGCTGTGCACCACAAGGAGGGCGAGGTCCTGCAGACGACACCAGACCCAGCAGGGGGTAAATATTGTAAAAACGTCCACTGTAACGCGAATGATGACATCATCGTCACAGATCCAGGAAATGATAACATCCGTGTATACGATCCGACTCTCCAGCTTAAATACAGACATGGTACCAAGGGTGATGGGGACGGACAGGTGAGCCTTCCAGGCGGCACGTGCTGCTTGGATAATGGAGACATAATTATTACGTAATTCGGCGACCAACGTCTGCACCTGATGTCACCGGATGGAAAATTCAAGAAGTTTCTTGCAAACAAAAAAATTAGACTATTCAAGCCAGAAGATGTTGTAGTTAATTGTCTCGGACAACTGATAGTTGGGGAACAGACAGGCAAGATTAAAGTCTTCCAATTATGATAAATTATACCAAAGTTAGCAATTGACTACGGACATATTACGTTTGTTAGTTTGTTTAAAAAAATGCATATACAATAACTCAGCAGAACCCTTGAAGTTCTCATCTCTCTTGAATCATGAATGTTTACTTTCAATTAAGATTCCTCGCCACATTGGTTGTTTATAAAAAGGAGAATTCTTAGCTGTGACTAAACAGTTACATCGCAGAATTTAAGTATATATTGTTATACTGCAAACATTTACTGTACATAGCGCCATTATAATGGGAAATCCTGGTTTAAAAAATGATACTGTTCTATCACAGAATAGGAAATTACTGTGTGTATTTTCCTGGTTATACTGGAAAACCTTAACTGAAAAGAAAAATACGCACATAAAACCAATTACAAAGAAGATAACCAGTCATAAGATTCCCTAAAACATGTTATGCGTTTTAACTTATTAGTGGTAAGCAGTCGATTCAATTGAGCGAATTTCAATAGCTAAACAACACTGAACAATCTTAATAAAGGAAGTGAGTAATAGTACCCTTCGGAGTCACGCTAATTCACATCATCGGCAAAAGAAGAGTGTGGACCATATTGTAGTAGTACCCATACAGGTTGGTGGAAGGGAATCTTGTAAACCACCACGCGCAGTTCTCAGAATACGCGACGTTGTCCAGGTATGACAGGAATGGTAGTCCTGGGAATGGAAGTCCGGGGTCCCATACGATTAGTGCAGTTGGTGTTAGTCAGATTATTGAGGTTAGTATATGGGACGAATGTCACCTGTACAAAGTAATGGGAAGCGGACTACAGTTCCTGTCGGTGTAACGTGACAGAGAGTCCCCCATAACAGGGAGTCCGCTTCCCATTCATTTGTACAGGTAAGCTTCGCCCTAGATTTTGACCCACTTAGGTCAGACTAACCCTAACCATTATAACTATATGGAGGGCGGACTTTCTGTTACACGGACCCTCAGTTTTGTTACACCGGCCGTTCCCGAGTAGTCTCCCAGTGTAAGCAGGTACTTCACAGTCCCATCGCTGATTTTTTAGGGGAAAATTTGGAGTAGGCGTCGACTCCTTTGACGTCTCGAGATCTACTCTCGGAGTGTAGTCTTGTTGTGCGGGCAGACATTAGATGTAAAAGTTGCCTACAAAAATGAAAAAATAAATATAAATACAGTACATAACTGATTTGCTGCATTCACTTGTGGTGACATGTACTAAGGAAAGTGTTTAGATAAGAGTGGGTCGGGATTGGGATTTGCCATTTCGTGTTCCTTACAATATCGTATTAAACTATACCAGACCATATACCATAATGCTATGAAAATACTGCGCGCCATCTGTCGTCCTAAATATGTATTATCCCTTACCAAGCCAGTGCTCTCCACTGGGGTCCCCGAACCCTTCCTGTATGCCTGCCGGTCACAGTAGATACCAACGGAATCATCTTGAAAGGAACACCCATGCAGAACAGAAAAAACAAGCGCCGCCTTTAAATAATTTTACTGGTTAAGCCTCTCTATGTTGCTATCTTAGAAAGGCTTTTTTGAGAGAGAGATAGAGAGAGAGAGAGAGAGAGAGAGAGAGAGTGTGTTTCTACATCAATGTTAATTCCTGGTAAAAATAAAGAAATAAAGGTATCAATACCATTACGTCGAAATGATGATGCACGACTTTAAGACACATAGCTACTACATGTAGAAAGAAAATAGGCTGAATAGGGAATTTCAAAACTGTACGTTTTCAATCACAGTGCCCCAAAACGTGGCGTCTATTATCTATTTTGGCGGGTGCGATTGTGGTAGATGCGACACAATTGTGACAATGCCAAAAAGATGAACTGTGTTAAGAAACATCGACCGTGTAATGGAGACCGCCCTCAATATTGGATTCGCACTGGTTTGGGTTGGGGTGACGTAGGTGGGTCAAAATCTAGCGGCTTAGATCTACGTATAGAAAGCAATCGGAACCGGTTCCTGTATTATAGGGGATATCTCTGTAGATGGAATTAACTTTAAGACCGAAATCTTTATTGACCATGATTAATCAGAGTCTAGACCCCTTCAATGAATAATTCACTTGCTATAAAAAATTTCAGAAATAATCCGCGTTGCTTGCTCATTGCACCCGCCCGCTTCAATGGAGTATATATATATATATATGGCTGTACAGCCTAGCTGTTTATACATCAAAGCGTGGAGTTGCAATCAAGGTTTATTCAACTGAGTTCAGGCCTACAGGCCTAGATTATATATCACAATAACCATAATCAGCTGCCAAAATTATATTACAAACACTAACAAATTCACTTATCTGAAAAAAAAAAACATCTCTTAGTTAGTTAGAAAGCTATACGTTGTCCGCCGCTTTTTAAATAATATCAACACACACACACACACACACACACACACACGTCATGACAGAGCAGTCAATATAGTTACATTGTGGAAATCTCAGGATTTATATACGGTGCCCCCCTCAACTCTTTTTATAAACTACACGACATTAACATAACCAAGCAATCAAGGGGCAAATAAAATAAATCTTGTACCTAGATTTTGGTAAACTTTTTCTTAGCCATTTTTCTGAAATTCTACACCAGTGGCAGTGTACTAGTCTATGTACATTTTAAGCATGAATATATGTACGCACTTCAGCTACTTTCCCTAAGCCAGCTTTCATTAAGTCTGCCCTGAACGCAGCTCGCAATATTCTTTGCGACCGCTTGCCCTTGAACTCGCTCTTAAGGAAAAACAAACTGACCTAGTCTACCAGACATAAATCAACGCGGCCCCCTGGGCCCCGCGCTGCATCAAATCTGTTTCATAATTATCCAATACTGATTGGCTTAACGGCTAATTTGCCTATTTGACTCCAATAACGCCGATCAGTAATGGATATGCTTCGGCAATTAATGAATGGCAAAAGAACCCATCGGCTTTTGCTCGAAAAAATAACTCCTAAAAATAGGTTACGTACGCGGTGCATGTTGGGTAAGGTATAGCAATAAACGGAGCCAACGCCTTGGTAGTTAGTTTTGCCGGCACTGGCTAGTAGAAAAGGATGGCTCGCCGTTGTTTGCTAGGATGTTTGGCAATTTCGCTTTACTGTGGAATTGCTATGTGTCTGCCTCCTATTCAGCAATTGCGCACGTGAGTATAAGATCTATTCTTTGTTGATAAGACAGTTACTGTGTGAGGAAAAACGTTATTTTTAGCTGATTTTTATTTTTGGTGAATATGCGTACTGGCAGATCTATTACTTCGCTTGCAGAGAGGGTGGCAGCATGAAAACAATTTGCCCAACCTTTGCTAAGCATATTTATGAAATAGTTGACGATTGAAGATAGTTTTATTACAGGTATAATATTTAGGTCGCAGGAATGGCAAAATCACTTGGTTTTGTCTCGTTTTGATTGTTAAACTGTTTTGATATTTTTTTAATTCGGGGGGGGGGGGGGGGGGGTGAAGGGCAGGGAGGGGTACGTGGTAGTGGTTATGATACCGCCCGACCGCCATTGTCAATAATACATGTAAACCGCTACATTGGAACCATGCACTATCTAGCTGACATATAACCAAGATCGACTGCTGCAAGGGTACAGCTAGTACATGCCCAAGTGAAATATTCCTCATAGGTGTGTTGCGCTGCGTATGACAGAAGTCCCGGCCACTCTCACGACTATGCTTGGTTGATTTTAGTGGCAGGTTTTACTGTGCGAAGCACAATATGTTAGCGCCCCCCCCCCTTACAGACCACACAAACAAGATACAGTCTCTTCAGAACCGTGTTGTAGACGTTCACCTGCATCCTCTCGGATCTCTCGGTAAAAAACTGTTGCGGTCTTCATTCGAACACTTGCTTGTCGCTCTCAGTCAAAAACGTTTTCTACCTGCAGTATACCCTAAGGTCGCATTCAGAACAAGTTGATCCGCTGACTAACAGCTCCGCGGATCAAATATTGCTGACCCACTTGAAAGCCTGCCACATAACCCCCTAACAGACACTGAATAGATTCCCCGCGGGGATTACTCGGCAAGCCTTCAAGTGGGTTGATCACCTTTGATCCGTGGAGCTGCTAGTCTGTGAATTCAGCTTAAATTTATGCCTCTCTCTCTGCTAGGATTATACAAATTATCTTCCTAAATTTAACGTCTTACACAGGAGCGTTTTTATTGTCATTAGGTGACAGTGCGACCTCCATATACCCTTTGCGGCTTGGCAGGCTCCAGCGGGCTGTCACTTTGAGTTACTGCACGTACCGCTATCAGAACCACCGGTTGATTTTTCATAAGTTATTGACAGAAATGTCGGATGTATCTCTGCCTTCTTCATGACGATTATTTTTTTCACGCTGTGTCCAAAGGGAATTTTTTCATAGAATATGTCACCACTCAGTTGGCTTCTTGTATTGAGCGAATTGTAAAATAGGTCAATTTTTTTTTTCTCTTTTGTAAGAACTCATCCTGCCCAACTTCCCACTTAGTCCAGCGAGTATATTTGTATGGAATATGCCATCGCTCAGTTGGCTTCTTGTTAGAGGTGTATTCTTAAAGTGGTCAAAATGGTCATCATCGTTTTCAAACTCGCCCAACCCATCTTCCAAGCATTCTGCCCCACTGTCGTTCAGTCAAGCAATGTATAATGCCATTTTACTGCCTGGATGGTAAAGACATAATATACATTAACTTTTTTTAGATTGCCATCTTATCAAAATGAAATCAGCATGAGAATGCACTTAACTGGGTACGAAATACATTTTAGGTCAGTACAACGTAGGATTTGAAGTATGGTGACTGAGTTAGGCGATGACATGGGTCGGCAGGTGGCATAAGCTATTATACATGTACCGTGATAGAGGGTGATCATGATTTACTGCAATTCACCCTCTCCCCTCCCCCCTCCCCCGAAAAAAGGAGCATAGAGTTATAGTCTCAATCACTATAATATATTAATGAGTTTTCCAGATTTCTCCTTCTTGTGCTCAATTTTAAATGGGCAATTTTGGAAAGATTAATGCGAGACACGCTCGCTGCCCCATTACCACAGTTATTCAGCTACAGTCAGTGAGAGAGAGAGAGAGAGAGAGAGAGAGAGAGAGAGAGAGAGAGAGAGTTGTATGTGTACCGTTATGATGAGCATCATGCATATTGTATCGACAACTCGACCAGCAGAGGTGAAATATCATCAAATTATCTAACGCTGCACAATGTTGTGCTTTTGGCATTTCCGGCAATTATCTTCATATCGTTTAATTTATTTTACCTTTTTATTTGTTTCCTTTTCTTGCCTTTATTGGCCATTATGCGCACAAGTATCACATAAGCTTATCATTTAGCTATTATTCTCGTGGACAGAATGTTACAACCTTTAAATGACTCGATAATATGATAACCATACCTCTCAAAAGACTAAGAGAGTTATTTAAAAAATGGGCAGAATTCAGGAAAAAGGTAACATGCAAAAAAGCCTGTGCTATCAAAAGGCTCCAAGGGAATTATTTTTTAAATATTAAAAGTCTATAATTACCGTCTATATCATTTACAACCTCTGGAATTTTTCCCCGATGACTAACACTTTCATACCCGCGGCTTGGTTCTATCTTTAGGTCTAAGTACGCTGTTTACGTTTTATCATCACCATCAAAATTAAGGTGTCTGTTTTTTTTTAATATGGGGTCAATTACATGACTTGGTTCTAAAAAATGCTGTCTCGTGGCATTTCAAAAATGTTCTCTGAAAATATCATATTTAACGGGTTTTATTTTTTCTTCCTATTTTACTTTGTTTCGGATTTTTTTTTTTTTTTTTTTTTTTTTGCATCCGAACCATAAAACAATCCACAGTGAGGTTAACGGAATTTCTTCCTGTATTTTTGCAATTCTTTATTTTAGTACATTTTTGTGACAGAAAAAATAAACAAAATAAAATAACATCGATAATTAAATATAAGACCATGTTTTTTTTTTTTTTCAGGAAAGTTCCGCGACAAACCATTAATGTCAACATCAGTCTTTGGGAGCACTACGAAGACGTCCTGAAGGAAATTGACGAACAGGAAAACGGACCTCTCCGGAAATTACTGAAGGAAGTCGTGGAAAAGAACCCCGGCATCGCTCCCGCCGGAAGTCTATTCCAGCGACTACACATACCCGAGAAGCTTCCAGGCGGCAAAACCGGGTTCGAATCCGATTTCGATTTTCTGGACCCCTCTGTGAAAGCTCTGGAGGCCCCCCATTCTGCAGTCAGATTGGTGAAGGTTCCCAATTCCGACGTGTACGTCCATTTGTATGTGAACAACCAAAGGGTAACCCCCTTGCACAGACGTCTTAGCATGGCTCGCTTCTACGACCCCCAGCGGTCTGGCGTCTCAGTGGACATTAAATACTGGGCGGCGCCTAATAATACAAAAGGCACGTGTCTTAATAATACCGTCACCATCCTGCTGCACGGGTTCGACCCCAAAACCAACAGGACTCGCCCACCGATCCTTACCGCCCGGATGTACAAGGGATATCAGAGTTTCACCACCCCTCCGTACAAATCCTGTTTCGTTGATGATGGCGGAGACAAGGAATGCTGCGACGGAAACGTCCCGGACTCCGAGGAAGGGTTCGCCAATGATTACAACCCTGGCTGGGTGGACACGAACGCCGTGGATGCCATTGGAGGGGCAATAGGAAAGTTCATCACCATGCGCCCAGACGCCGAGGTCGTCATGGACGTCGTCCTCGTGTATCGCACCTCGTGGCCCACGTGGTTCCGGCAGTGGGAGGAGCCGAACTGGCCCAGGATGTGGCCTCAGGGGGAGACCGTCGCTCTGCTGAAGAACACCGGGGCTGAAGTGACCCGGAAGTCAAACGATGACGACAGAGCGAGCCAGGAGACGTGGCGCCTCGTTTTCGTCCAGGCTGAGAACATTTTGATCAACACGTGGAACAAGGAACAACGCACGTTGATGATGTTCCTGAAGGCGTTGAGGCGCAAGTACTTCCAGCACGTCGAAGACGCCATTACGGGATTTCATCTCAAACTGCTCTCCTTCTGGGTGGTGGAGGAACTGGGGACAGATTGGAGGCTCGCGGACATGAACGCTGCTGTGTCAGAGGCACTGGCCAGCATTCAAGATGTCTGCAAGAATCGATTCTTGCCCAATTACTTCGTCCCGCAAGTCAATGAACTGGATGGCGCATCTCCTGAGGGATTAGACGAAGTGTCTGACATCATAGACGATATTCTTAAAGACCCCGATACTTACTTCATAGAAAATCTATTCCGTAATGTTAGCGAAGCTGAGCACTCATCAGGGTTCAAGTACACTATGTTTTATGAGTCTAGCCACGCAAGCGGTGCTACATCAATTTATCATATATCTCTTCTACCTGTGCTGGGGTATATATCCGTCTCTATCTCTTGTTTTGTGAAACGCGTCTGGGTTTAATATTAGCTACCAGTAAGAGCCAACGCTGAGACGCGGATTAGAAAATTGCGAGGCATCAGCAATATAGTGCACTGATTTTCACCTGATTTTCACCTGAACTCTGCTAGTTGTATCTCAAGAAATTTTTTCTGCATTTTTGGTTGAAAATATAAGAAAGTACATCAGCTTTTGACGTTTTTTTTTTTCACATTTTCTCTTCTTTCAATGTTTGCGCACTGTGGCATTTGCTAGAAGCGTAATGAAAAACAAGGGTTCATTTTCCTGTAACCTTTGCAAAATAAGGTTAGCTAAAGACATTATTTTTAACCTCAAGGAACCTTTCTAGCACCCTTAAAGCGCTGGGTGGAACTTTGTTTTTTTTATTACTACTGGTATATTTATCAGGAGATTTTTTTCTTTCGTTTAACATCAAGGTGTACAAATAATGTAGTGCACCTGCCTAAGAACAGCTACTAATATAATTACTATATGCTTTGCTGAGTGACTTTGAGCCCATACAGAACAGCGGTCTAACAGATCCGAGGATCAAATATGGCGACCCACTGAAAAGCTTGTCGCTTAATGCCCGACTAGACACTGAATATATTCCCCGAGGAGATTACGCTACAAGCATTTAAGTGGGTCGGCCATATTTGATCCACTGATCTGTTAGTGTGCTTTTCCGAATGCGCTCTATTACCTGTTATTTTCGTGCTCAGTCAAAACTCTACGTGTATTTCTAAAAAAAACCTTAGACTATCTTCAACATAATAGGCCTGTATAGAGATACATATACGTTGTGTGTATTTTTATAAATTTTATGATTCATGAATATGACTATATACCACAGTCCAGAGACGGGTTAAGCACGAGGACGGTTGGATCTTCTAGGACAGGAACTTGATTTTAAACCAACTACATTTGACTTTGAATATTTTTTTACTGCTGTGAAACACCAACTGGGCGCCTTTGTGCCAGGCGCATTTTTTAGACTAGGAAGCACTGAAAACATCCGTGTTTTTAGGCTATTTGTTGAGGTTCCGTTTGCCAAAATATGTTTGCATTGTATCAATTTTGTAGTGCCAATTTTTAAGCATTGTGGGTTAGCTGTTTAGTACCCGGATGATCTCATATGACGCCAATATGACGTATTTTAATTCTGATTGGCCGATTACAATTATTCTACTAATAAACAGACCTACATGTATGACTTAAACTTGGCTCCCGTTTCTATTCTTGCTATTGTTTCACGTACTTATGATGAGCATAACAATTTCTATAAAAAGTAGATTAAATTTTAAAAAAATATTAGCTATGAAAGCTGAAAAATTGTAAATGTGATGCATATTGTGCAATGCATTTGTGAGAAAAATGACGCGTCATTGTGACGTAGCAGAACTCGAAGGCATCCGTCACCTCGTAGAACGTAATCTTACGTTAGCTACCTGTAACGTCAAAAGTAACAAAAAAACGATCATGGCAACGTAAATACACAAGGCCAGCATACGTTGCCGCATCATAAAAAGAACGGTGAGTAAGAGTCATTTTGAGTCTTTTAACAATGATTTTATTGTCATAAACTACTAACTCAAATGCTGAATTGTCATGTAATTTAGATTGTGTCAAAGCTGTGTCAAAATTCTGGATAGGCGGTTTCAATGCAGGAATATATACAGTAGCTTGGCTACTGTTTGGTGAAAACAAGCATTCTAATCGAATAAAAACATCTACTTTGGCTGTGCCAAAATTATCGCTTATGATAGAAACTGACTCTATTAAAAAGTCATCATTGATTGATGTAAGCAACACATTTATAAGGTCATTGCCTTGAATACGTTCAGATAAAAACACGCCTTTCAAATAGCGGTCGAATATTAAGATGCCGTATACTGGGACAAACTCGGAAAAAAAGTTGTTTGATTGAAGAGAAGCAATTTGAAAACTGAAGTAGGAATGTAGGATGCGCCACGCAGTATGTTGATTGATGAAGCAACTAGTTAATTGCCTCGTGCACATGCTAGAAGAATATCTACGTAGTTATAGGCCGATATTGATCGGGACAAATGAGAATCATTCGCGGTAGCTAGCCTAAAACGAGGCAGAAATGATCCGTGAGATGCATTATGTTAGTTTTTAATGGCACTTTGTACACCACTCGCTAAAAGACAATTGCCTATTTCTGACCTTTCTGTCCTCAAATTTCCGAGAAATCTCGGCTGATTTTACCGTAAGTCACCATCAGCCGTCTTCTCAGCAAATAATATACGTTCAGCCTGCCTAGCATAGGCCTACTCGCACACCCGATACACGATCGAAAGACAGTACATGCATGTACCGGCAATTTTCTGAATGAACATGATCACGTGGCTGTGCCAAAATTAACGCTCATGATAGAAACTGACTCGATTAAAAAGTCAGTTTAGACTCAGTTTAGACTGAGTTTAGACATAGACTCAGTTTAGTATTACATCCTTTAATTGTAAACTTTATCTTTAGAGTAACCTTAGCCTTTCATTCCTTTGTTGTTACTACATGTATACTGAGATGTTTACTACAGCTAGCTTATCATTCAGTCAACTAATGAAATTTTTTTCATTAATTTCAAAAATGATACGATCGTTGATTTTACTGCAGGATGGGTTACTGTAATTAAACAAGTTATTTCATTTTCATTCCCATACCGTTGCACCTTTCTTTGTCTCTTTAAAAGGCAGGTTCCACATATGATGAGCGATTTCCTACGGTTATTCACAACGGACTGTTGCATGGGCTCCCCGAAAGACCTCACTGTTAGTTCCAACGTCTTCCGGCAGGTGGCAGGGCTGCGGGACCAGCTACACATCATGCGGTACCTCTTGTTTTGGAGCGTCATAGCAACGGCCCTCTTTCTCATCATCGCTGCTCTTCTCGCGCGCAGACGCTCGCCCGTGCTGCAGCCCCCGAGACCAGGTTGTCATGACAACCACCGTGCTAGAGAGACGGGGAAGACATTTCAGGGAGAGAAGGGCCGTTGTCAAATTCACTGGGACGGCGGCGAGAGTCAAGCGTCTCTGATCATTCCTGTACCCGGCAAGCCGTGCGTGGAGTGGGACGGTGGAGCCAGCCAGACCGCTCTCTACGCGCAACAAAGTATCCGGGATTTCAAGCTCTCTAAGTGGAAAAAACCTTGTACAAGAAATCTGGTAGGAACTTTTTGTTTTAGTTATATGTCGATTTTCTTTTCTTTTTTTTAATTTTTCACTCTTTTATTATATATTTTTACATTTACTTTTTTACGCCTTTTAATTGACTGGTCTTAGACTTTGAGTTTACTGGTAATAAGTTGTATAATTTCTCATCTAAAGAAAACAAAAAAGTTAAAGAAGACATAATTGTGTTAGACCAAGAAGTGCATGGTTTACAGTGATGATTGCCAAAAGTGCGTTTTTTAAATACTTAAAATACTTTCTTTTTAGATTCCGCGGCTAAGGGAGGAAATTAAGACGTTGTGGACATCACCGGGCGCCAAAGCTGGTTTGAACTCTCTAAGATTTACCCCACCAGTCACATACCAGGACTAGCTAGGCACAGCATTAAGACATAAAGCCATGCCTCAGTAATTGAGAGACGTAACTCATCCATCTTAAGTCCCCCTCGTCCACCGATTAAAAACATTCCTAAATGATTAGGCCTGTTTCAAAATTTCCGATATTATCAAGAGACGTATATTCTGTAGGCCTAATTTGTGTTCGTCGAAAAAAAGGTTCAGAACAATCCCATTTTAATACACTATCATGATACTCATTTCTTTTATTTTTCATTTGTTATCCACTCAGACGCTCACATTATCTCTATAATCCTTTTTTAGGAATATATACAAGTCTATAATCTGCTGCAATATTCAATTTACATGTTAAAGAAATAAATTACACTATACACCTTATTTGGTATGTTTGTTAACCGTCTCATTTTCCTGAGTTGTCATACTTACGGGCAATCTGCGGACACTCCCTCAGTTTACGCTCTTCCTCTCCCAAAACAAAACACAATCCATGTGAATGCGACAGGTGAGCAAAGACTGTCAAACATCTGATTAGTTCCAAAAACTACTCTTGACTGTTGCGTTTATAATTATTGTTATTTTAACGAAAAATTTATAAATCAATGAACATTTCTAAGTAAATATTCCAGGTTTTATAAATTGATTAATTAATATTATTTTCAACTGTATCAGTTTTGCAAATTGCAATAAAACACTTAAAACATCATCCTGAGGAACCACACCGGAAGTAGTCTTTGAAAAAGAGGCGGGAGTAAATGTCCAGTTTCAGTGGTTGTCTATACATGTACAAGTAGTATACTGTATATCCTTTTCACAGAAAGTTATCTATCTGATTTGAAAACGGAGATTTAAGGAACATGATGTTTGGTAAGTGAATGGCTTTAGCTGGGATTATGTAATGTTGCGAACCGAACGAAATTGGATTACTTATCGAACGTAATTGCCCAGGTTGACGATTTATTCTGTTATTGTACCACCAGCGTTAGCGCTGGCGGNGTGTGGCCTTACGGGCAATCTGCGGACACTCCCTCAGTTTACACTCTTCCTCTCCCAAAACAAAACACAATCCATGTGAATGCGACAGGTGAGCAAAGACTGTCAAACATCTGATTAGTTCCAAAAACTACTCTTGACTGTTGCGTTTATAATTATTGTTATTTTAACGAAAATTTTATAAATCAATGAACATTTTAAGTAAATATTCCAGGTTTTATAAATTGATTAATTAATATTATTTTCAACTGTATCAGTTTTGCAAATTGCAATAAAACACTAAAACATCATCCTGAGGAACCACACCGGAAGTAGTCTTTGAAAAAGAGGCGGGAGTAAATAGCCAGTTTCAGTGGTTGTCTATACATGTACAAGTAGTATACTGTATATCCTTTTCACAGCAAGTTATCTATCTGATTTGAAAACGGAGATTTAAGAAACATGATGTTTGGTAAGTAATTGGCTTTAACTGGGATTATGTAATGTTGCGATTTGCGAACCGAACGAACTTGGATTACTTATCGAACGTAATTGCTAAACAGGTCCAGGCTGACGATTTATTCTGTTATTCCACTTGTATATTCTAAATATATGTCCCATTTTGAACAAGTCGTATGATATCCCTTTCTTAGTCTCTAGAAATATCCTTTCATTGTAATTCCCCGTGTGGGCACATGCTTGTACATTTATGTTTGTTCCAGGAATTAGGCTTCGTTCACATGCAATGTCTATTTTCTAAATTCTATTTTCTATTTTCGGTATGTCTTATGATCACGGTCTGTGCACTGAATATCCCGCGGCGTAATTACTGGCAGCGCGAGCCAGTTACTATAAGTTACTATAAGTAACTGGCTCGCGCTGCCAGTAATTACGCGGCGGGATATTCAGTGCACAGACCGTGATCATAAGATAGCGCGAATAGAAAATAGAATTTAGAAAATAGACATTGCATGTGAACGAAGCCTTATATTAATGATAATAAATGGTGGAGGACAGCGGTGTGGTTGATACATATATCAAACATATTCATGTTTCACATGTGGGTTATGTCTGTGCATGCGTGAGTGCTTGCGTGTGTGTGTGTGTGTGTGTGTGTGTGTGTGTGTGTGTGTGTGTGTGTGATGATACTGCAAAAGCGCCCAAAAATCTCACTTTTTATCATCTTGTTTTGCGGTTTGCCAATTAAAATTTTCTGGCCTGTCCATACTTACTACTGGTAGTAATTATTATAATGATAATTTATTTCTCAGAAAAACTTATTGATAAGAACTAATAAAACTAATTTGATTGATATTTCTCTTTCACCAGACATGTTAGAAATGCTCCAGGATCTGGAGACAAAGTCAAAGAAAGAATCCAGCTTGAAGGAGGAGGAGAAAAAACAAGATGATGAACTGAGACAACTGAAACTGAAAGTGACCAAGTTGCAGCAAAAGAAGAAGTGGCTGCAGCAACAACTCAGTAAAGAGGTGTTTATACTTTAGTTCTCTAGCTGTTATAATCTGAAAATGATAACGGTACATGTATTAGCATTCGGGCGTACAATAGTGAAAAATAAGGTGAATACATGAAATGAAAAAGACATGGCTACACAGTATTACACTGTCATCTGACAACTTTGTAAATTACTCCATTTATATATATATATATATATATATATATATATATATATATATATATATATATATATATCCATTTTAGTCTCCTCTACAACAAGTAGACATAAACAACATTGACAGTCTGGACAGAGAGGAGAAGTCAGAGCTCCTGGATGCTGCTTATGCTGCACAACAGAAAAAGTTGGAAGAGATGGTCGTACTCCACAGACTAACAGGTATGGCAGTTAGAAATAACCCACTTTAATCCATATATTATCATATTTGTTTAATTTATTTAGAGAGAACCAGTTTTACCATTCTTGGCACTTCAGTCACTCATAATGTACCAGACATTGCTTCTTGGACATGAGTCTTTAGAGACCATGAGGACTGTGTCATTCATTCATCCATTCATTCATTCATTCATTCATTCATCCTTTATGTGTTTGTTTTGCTCTCTCTCTCTCTCCATTCTTTCTTTCTTTATTTCTTTCTTCTTTCTTTCTTTCTTTAATGCACCAAGAAATTAATTATTGTTTCTTTCATTTTCAATTTCAGGTATTTCTATCGACCATATTAAACCAGAGGCAATACGAATCTGCTGGGATACCTCATATGGAGGGGAATTCTTCGAGGCTTTCTATGCCGAGGTGACCCGCTCCAGAGACAAGCTGACGGTGCAGCACCACTCCCTGCCGTACTTTCTTCCCATCAACTCTCTGATTACCAGACACCTGAATACAGATATCACTGTGTTTGCAGAGACGGTGTCCAGGTATCTGAATGTGTTTGTAGAGAAGAGACAGGAAGCTGTTAATGCTGAGGTGAGAATGGAAAGTGTTGAGGGTTTTTTCCTAGTACAAGTACTGTGGTTGAGTAAATGTTATAGTTTTTTTTTCTTCAATTACTTGGCTTTTTTTAAATCTATTGAAGTCACAAATCCTTTGATAGAGCTGGAAGTTCTAGGTAAAAGAGAAAAAATTCAACTGACTGTTATTGGCTCTTCAATAATATTTTGCTCACTCTTGTTTGAGAACTTTTACAACTTTTTGAACAACAGTCAAATTAACATAACTTTTAAACTTAAAAAGTACCCATACTGAAGGCACACATGCATGCATGCACGCACACCCGCACATCTACACTCGACCAAAAAAGTTCATTATTTTGAATAATTATGAAAAGACCATAATATCTAAAGTATATATTTTAACCAAATATTAATGGATAATTCACCCACCATTCTTTGCTTTTTTTATATACACTGGCAATTTCCCACTAGATAACATAGTTCTTTTTAACTTTTTGGTTGAGTGTATATACTAAACTTATCCGGTAACGGCCAAACTGAAAAATTCTCACATGACAATTCCAGAAGGAGTTTGGGTTGTATATGTCCAAGCCTATTGCTGCCAGCCCGTCCTGTGACGTGATTGAGTTCAGCCTGAAGCCCACCATGGTCCCAGGAAAACTCCACACGCAGCTGTTCTATAACGATCTTCTCCAGCCTCTGCCCACTGAGGTAGAGGTGGAGTGGAGAGGTGGGGCACTAGTGCTTTAATCAATTAATTAATTAACTAGTTATTTACATACTTAACTTATTAATAAATTATTTGTGATTATCTGTCTTTATAGTTAGTCATCAATATGTTAACAAATATACTTAATAATTCTGTGTTGAGAAGAGTTGGGCTTCTAATTAATTGATTAATAAATTTATTGGTCAATTAGATAATTCTTGTGTTTTTCTATCTTCGTAGTTAGTCATCAATTTGTTCATATATATTCATTTCAGGGGGTCTACTCTCTAGCTTTAGAGAACATTATTGATTGTAAAAGACATCTTCCTCTGTTTTCAGGTGAAGAGGGTGTGCTATCCAGAGAAGATATATTCAGAGTCAAACAGATATTTCTGTCAAAGTCATTATGCAGTGCTTTGGAAGAGTTGGTCACTAAAGTTTGATGGAGGAAAAAAAACTGAAACTTTAAAGAGCTCATGTGCTGGTCAGAGGAGCTTTTCAAACAGTTATGGGAAGGTGACCTTCATTGGGAGATCAAAGCAATAATGGAAAAACGCGACCTTCACTTAATATAAAAAAGACAACAATGGGAGAGTTCTTTTGTTACCTACTTGTATCTTCACAAGCAGAGACCCCACAGTAAAGAAGGTGACTGTTGTAGTTGATTGCTTACTTTTGCTATTTAACAGTGGAAGGAATAATTGCACTGCATTGTGAGCTTTTCATCTCAAATGTTAGAAAGATATATCACTGGGAAAAGCAATAATGCTTTGTACAGGATGTAATTTTTTGATTAAAAGAAAAAAAAATAACATCCATTGCTGCCTCACTTCCTCCTGATTTTTTGAGATGGTTCAATACACGTTTGATGTAATTGTTTAGGAATTGAAAACGGAAACAAAATAAGTGAAAAACAGTATACATCTGGTGTTGTTTCTAAAAGTTTTTGTTTTTGGATATTTGGAGACAAGGTTAGAAGAATTAAAGAAGCAAAAAAAAAAAATAAATAAATAAATAAAAATAAATAAATAAATAAATAAAATAAATAAAAATAAATAAATAAATAATAATAATAAAAATAAATAAAATAATACTGCAATTCTGGTCTCATGGCATTTACATGTAATTGAAAAAAAATATATATATGTTGAACTATTATTATACATGAAGATGACAATTTGAAAAACAAAGCAAATAAATAGATAAAAAGTTGGTACAAAAGCACATCACTCACAGTTGAACATTTTCCATCGGGTTGCATCATATCAAGAACGAATAAACTCTTGATCCAATAAATAAACAAAATTTTTCTAATTGTTAAAAATTTCAAAAAGCTGCAAATGATTTTGGATTAGCTCCTCTTGGATATCAAAATATTAAAGTTGAAGGTCGTGACCTGCAGGTGCGTGCGCATACGGTCGTTACAAACAAAATGGCGGATGAATCAAACAGGTGAGCATCGAGCATTAGAGCTTTTCAATGGTTTTAGAGTTGATAAAAGCCCAATTTTACGCTAAAGCATAAAATGCAAAACATGATAATTATACTTATACTCAAAAGTTAATGAAATTTCATTTGAAAGGAAATACAGCAACTTTAAACACTTCTTTTAAGCTCGCATTCCTTTTCCGAGTTAAAGGAACGACGTTATCGGAACTTGTCAAATTTGAAGTTAAGAGAAGTATATTCCCATTGCACTGCATTGCTATTTTAATAGCTGTTCAGTAGTCAGTAGGGAATGGATTTTTATAATTAATATTAAAATGTAGAAAATAACCTAGTTAGCTGTAGCTTGCAGTCTTCTCTCTGGACTTGGAAGTTGAATGTGTTATGGTATTCAATGTTCACTTTAGGGTACTTTTGTGGTATACCCCCCCACCCTGTAACTTTCTGTAACTTTCACTTTTCAAACAGTTTTTTACATTTTCTTGTTCATCTATGTCAAAGCTGTTGAAATAAAAAGCTTTTGTAATTACCTGTGGACTTTTTATTAGTTTTAATCACGTTTAATCCAGCCCATTGAAATACAATGTTAGAATCTTCAATTTACACCCGCAGTCAATAACTTGCCGCGTTTTCGTTGGCTAACTCTAGGGTAATTTTATGTGAACAAGTAGCTAATAATAATTTCACAGAGGAAGTCCAAGTATACAATGTATCAATTCCTATGTTCACATAAAATAAGGTAGAATTAGCCAACGAAAACGCGGCAAGTTGTTGACTGCAGGTACATCGTAAATTTTCACATTGTATTTCAATGGGGTGGATTAAACGTGATTAAAACTAATAAAAAGACCACAGGTAATTACAAAAACATTTTATTTCAACAGCTTTGACATAGGTGAAAAAGACAAAGTAAAAAAATGTTTGAAAAATGAAAGTTTCAGGAAGTTACAGGGTGGGGGGGTATACTACAAAAGTACCCACTTTAGTACTAGTATTGATCTTCCTTTCTATCGATCCGAAAAGGGGCAACAAAGGATACACGGGGGATTGTTTTATATATCACCTGGTTTTGGTTAATAGAAAAGGTAACTCCGGGACACGTTAAGGGCCACGGAAAATGTATATAAATGACATGTTTTAGTTTTTTTTTTTAAGAAGCTTTGAACATATGCACCGCACACCCTGCCGATTTTGAGTGTTAAAATAATCTAATATAGAATAATTTGCAATGCTTTTTTAAATTAATGAGATAAGAATGAAAACACAGATGAACATGACATTAAATTCTAAATGCAGTACTAGTAAGTGATTTGCTTTTTTTTTTCATTATTTTGGCATTGCACAATTATGAATTGTGAAATGATTCAAGCTACATAAAGGAGGACAGTGTAAGGACATATTTAATGAATTTTCTTTGATTAAACTTAATTTGTTTCTAACTAAGCAACACGTGATCTCCCATTCCTTATTCTCCTCATGTAGTTCTGTACAGTACATAACAATCTGGGAAAATTAAAAAAAAGTATTTTACCCATACATAGTCCTGCACTTTTCAAAGTGCCATCCTTTCCAGCATTGACTTCTAGGCTACATGTACTTACAACTGTGTCAAGAAGGTTGATATGTGGCAAAGTTTTTCAGGAATTGATAAATCAGATTATTTTTGATGACATTAATTCTAGACATAAATTTAAGAAAATGATGAAAATTTTAAATTGTCCACTGATATGTTCAGGAATGGTTTATGTAGTTTAACACATGTTTAAAAATCTTACCCTTTGTTCCTTTAATGTATCGTCAATTAGTCATGATTTTCAAATAGAATTTTCAAACATTTATGCATTTATTTCCCAGGATGCCAGACCAGTGCAGGACCCCTGAAGGACTCGGCAGTGGTGTGCCTGCTGTCAAACTGAACTCCAGTCTTCCTTCTCACAGGGTCAGATCCCCACTGGACTCCCCCTTCAGCAGGAGCTTCATGTCTCCCTCGGTAAGTATAACTGTTCACTACTGGATTCTCCCTTCAGCAGGAGCTTCATGTCTCCCTCGGTAAGTATTACTGTTCACTACTGGATTCTCCCTTCAGCAGGAGCTTCATGTCTCCCTCGGTAAGTATTACTGTTCACCTTGGAAAGAAAGAGAGATGAAAAAAAATTGAGATTCAGAGTGATGAGAACACTGGGAAAAACAGTACTTGGTACAGCATCACATCTGAAAGCCTAGTTGCTGACCCCCCCCCCCCCCCCCAATTACATGTGTAAATAAATGAATAAGTAAATTAATTAATTAATTAAAAGAAAAGAAAAGAAAGTAAATGAACAGTAGATAAAATGCAGTGATAAATTTAAAATATTTTAAAAGAAAAAATAATGATAATAACAATAGATTTATATTAGTGAAATGAAATCACACAGTAAATGGCTGCTAATTGACAATAATCAGATCATCATAAGCTGCCTTGGCAGTTATTACAATGTGCCTTTATTTATGTTGCTTCAGTCTCCATGGCAACTGGTAAACACAGTTGATTGCTTCGTTTGTAGCTTTGTAACTGGTGCGGTATGACATGTTTCAAAGTGGTTTTAAGATTTATATGTTGCGTGTTGGTTGGGTATCTGATATTGGTGTCTTCTACTTTCTCACCTCCCCCATCTCTCTCTCTCTCTCTCTCTCTCGCACACACACACACACACACACACACACACACATATATATGCATACTAGTATGCAAGTTCATCCACATAATACATCTACATACCTTTTCATATCCTCTGAAGTTCATTACTTTAGGTCTTCTCTCACCCTAAAACACAGTGCTATTTGAGACTGTCACAGGCAAGAGTTGCCATTCACATACCCATCATGGTAATGATTTTGGCATTATCCAAAATCAATTTCACGAAGAACAAAAGGGATCACAAAATAAGACTATATTAAGATTTGCCACTTGCTTGACATCCCTCATTGATTTTCTTCAACATAAAAAGAATCTGTCTGAAAGTGAACAAATACAATCTTTTCCAGTTCATTTTGCACTGCATAGGGACTGATGGAGGTTGTTATAATGCAAGCCAGCTAAAATCAATGACAAATAAAAGATACTTCCTGAGTGAGAGCAAATATGATCTTTCTCATTCATTTTCTATGGTCGTAGAGCACTGAATGTGGTGTATTATAACGTGTCTACCTGGCAACTAATCAATCCCAGAGGTGATTTATCGTGTAATGTGGCATAAACTCATATTCTGACCAATGAAATATGCATGAGAGCAGCAACTTTACTGAGCTTTAACTGGCTTCTGCACTGTATGTGTCTGGGCTGGGTTCGCAGAATAAGCTGCTTGAGTTGGTGATAAAGGAGAGAGATATTATATACAGATTGTTGGACATATTTTAGTCTTAGTAGAATATAATGCATCTGAAGATCAAGATTGTGTCAATAACCGATGGGACAGGTTTAAAAGACCACTATTGTGGTGAAGTTTTAGAACAGACATATTAGATATATGAAAGCATGCATCTTGGAGTGGATTTTACTGAACTAGACATAAAAAGCTAATAGACTGAGGAACAAGACTGCAAGATAATATACTTCTTAGAAAGCCTTTACTGAATTGCTTGCAAAATGTTCATTTACTAGTATGGAAATATTGCTTTTAAAACTGATTTGAAGTAGTTTTGAAAATGGGCATCAATACATCAAAGGGAAAAGGAAAAATTCAGGTATTACACTACACATCAAAAGTTACAAACTGTTGTTATTTCTGATGAGAAATAACAACATTATTGCAGAAATTTTTAGTTTATGTTTGGATTTTTATAGCCATTGTGCTAATTATAATCATTATGCTAAGTAATAATCATGAAATCAGAGTAGTTTAAAAGTACTTGGAATTTCTTTGACACACATTTCATGTTGCCAAGTTGTGAGATTTCCAAGGTACTAATTAGTATAATTTTCCACCAGGAACCTTAAATGAATATCTGCAGTTTGAACAAGTGTCTTTAGGTCCGAAATTATGGAACCCAATGTCTTCTGATAGAATGCAATATTATTATTATTATTATTATTATTATTATTATTATTATTATTATTATTATTATTTTGCGCAAATCTCTTCAGGGCCGTAAATTCTGGAACCCAGCATCTTCTGGTCCCTTGCAGAATGTGAAGAACACCCTGGGGACATTCGGTACCCCCTCCTATCCCTCCCCCCTGGACAGGATCAGGACAGGTGAGGGCGGTTAATGGGTTTTTTTTATTCAATTAAAAAAAAATATATATATATATATATATATATATATATATATATATATATATATATATATGTATTATAATCAGATGTTAAATTCAATATGAAAAATGATATTGTCAAATATCTGGGTTGCTTTAGTCAGGTGAAGATTTAGAATTGAATCAATGATGAATTTGAAAAAGAAAAGAAAAGAAAGACAAATTGAGAGAATCAAGAATTATTTACCTAGCCAAATAATAATGTTTTACAGCATTTTGCTACAAATAACTTTCTGTCCCTGTCAAATTAATTGTTGTATCATTTGTATAGACAAAATGAACAAAATAATATTTGGTATGGAAAATAATTACATGTTATCTCGTAGGGAAAAGAGAGCGTGCAGCACAGTTAGGTTTGGACAGCAATGATGAAGAGCCGTCGTTTGAAGGGAACCAGTCGTTCCCTAAACCTCTCAAGTCCCAGTACAAGGTTGACAAGACTCCTGAGGTCAAGTGTGCTCTGGATGGGTTCAAAGGTAACTGGAATGTTCAGACCACGTGAATTAAAGGGATAATAACTCTTCATTTTGGCCAAAAAATAAATTTTCCTGGAGTAAACAACAATTTTCCCATACTTACCAATGGTTAATGAATCCATTTTTACATTCAAAGTTATAGTCCCTGATTTTTTTTCTAAAAAGTTTGTTTTTTGTTATAATCTCTTAAGAGATTATAATAGAGTATAGCCATCAATGGAGGTCACATGGTCCGATGACAAGCTCAGATATCAGAATAATAGCCCTAACCCCGTTTTTTATGGTAAAACAGAATATATTATATTTTTATGAGTTGTTCACAATGTTTTTATTGTGAAATATAGATCTCATATGAAGAGTTATTATCCCTCTAATAAAGTTTAACATGTATTCCCTGTTGGTTTATACTGATTTCATTTCATCTTAAAAGTCATAAGACTGTGGACATATAAATTTATTGATTTTGATCTCCTCTACCAGAGAAAGATTTCATTATTCTTTTCATTACCTTAGGGTTTATCATTTTGTTTTCATTGATTTATTTGCTGATATGCTTGTTGCCAGACCATCATTTTCTCTTTTTGCTGAAATTTATTTATTTATTTATTTATTTATTTATTTATTTATTTATTTGTGTTCCTGATATTGGTTAATGGATACACTTGTTATCAGTAAGGTATTATGTCCATCTGAACAGTTTTTACGATTAATTAACCAAAACATATTTTGGTGATTTCTTTCAGGTGATGGCCTCCATGAGTTCAGTTTCTCCCCAGGGTTATCCAAGGGGACATTCTCTCCCGTCCCTATCCCAGGGCCAGATCCCCGGGCCAGTATGTCCCTGGGGACCAGCTGGTCCTTCTATAACTACGTGGGAGGAGGGGAGGTCGGGATGACCTTTCCCACATCAGTCAGGAACCCCAACAAGGCCATCGTGACTATCAAGGCTCGTAGTACTGAGGTTTGTGTGTGTCTTGATGAATGTTGTTGAAATTTATATTAGATTACAAAGAATGGGACAAAAAAGAAAGCAAGACAGATGTGTTACTTACTTTGTTACAGTTTGAATTTTAGTCTCTTTCCCTCTTTTATTCCGTTCCTAACACAGGTTATAATATGCAAGTCTTTGCTTCAGTCTGACATTGTGCTAATCAGAACATTCCAGTGAATTTTGCTATTTTAAAAAAAAATTATTAATAATTTTTTTCATGTTCTTACGCTTTAGATTCTCATGGCCAATGAAATGGCCTGTGAACTGTTCGCCTACAATGAAGATGAACTGATAGGTGCACGTCTCACTGACCTAGTGCGTCTGAAGAAGAAGGAACAGGAAGCACTGATGGAGACGGAACTAGAGGATGATGGGAAGGTTGTGTCTGTGGCGGGGAAAGTGGTAAGTATCGAATTAGATTGACTGTTGCTAAGTGATATTTTCATCATTGGGTAAGATTACTGCAGTTTTGGCTTACAGAAATCAGAAGTGTTTCATCGAGATTAGGATTAAAGAAACTGCCTGCTACAGAGAGAAACCTGCTGTGTTTAGCAATTATTTGTTATTATCATTATTGGCATTATTATAATCATTATTCTTGTTATTATTATCATTATTTATTTATTTATTACTATTATTATTATTATCAACAGTCAGGCTATATTATTTCCTATTATTTCCAGTTTGATGCAGTAGACTCCAGTGGGGTGGTAGTACCAGTGTCTCTGTGGTTGAAGAAGCTGCCTGTCATGGAGGGAGAACTACGCTGTATAGCAGTAATGGAGCCAGTGGAGAGGACCACAGCTTCTGTGACTTTCGACAGCTCTGTGAGTTGGATTCCAGTCTTCAGCATTTCCATTTTCCAGATTTTTTTATGAAAGTCCGTAATGAAGATTAAACCCAAAAAAAGCGGCTTAAATGTTGGACTGAAATTTTGTGAAGTTCTTGTTTTTATGTACAGACACAGATGTGTCTGTACATATTGCCATCACCTGCGTCTGTCGTCGCCGTCGCCGTGCACTTTCAGCATTAACACCATAAGTGGAAGACAGTTTTACTTTTTGGCTTTATATTTACAGAGCTGATGAATATTCATAAAACGCAGGTCAAGTTCGAAAATCAGCATGATCGGGCCAATTCGTTAGTACGATGTAAAAACTATGTTAAACCAATTGCTCAATTTGTAATAGACATTGTTATCTTTCTGGTTCTAGGGCACCGTCCTCCTCTGTGACCAGCAGATGGCGTCACTGCATGGCTACAACTCGCCTAATGACCTGATAGGGACAAAACTGACCAGTTATATCCCAGCGGTCAGACTGCCCTCCTCTGGCTCAGCACTGACCAAGGTGAGTACGGAAACACAGAAATGTGTCTTTCATAAAGTTTTTCTGAAACATTAGAGTGAGAAACAACTTCTAAAATGGTCCAATTGGGCTTAAAAATTTTGATGAAGTCCTGGTTTTTCAAAAGTATTAAATTTTTTTGGTGATCAGAATCATTAACTTTGGTACAAAATTTCATTTGAAAAAAGCAGTGTTTCACTCTTATCAGCTTAGTGAGGATGACTCACAGGTTAAGCAACATTCAACGCCCTGGGGCATTCAGCCTGAAGACTCTTTTGTGATAAAAGCAGAAAGTTTTTTTTTCACAAAATTGTGTTCAAAAAGTGAGTGCGTCTCATCACCAAAAGTCTTTTTGATTTCAACATATTGGAACCATGAACACTGTAACACATGAAATTGTATTATCCTTGTGATATAATGCAGTTATAGTCAGTTTCTTTGGGAAATAACACGCTGTTGTCCCTTCATAATAATCTAAAGGTTTTCCATTCCCTGTGGACCTGGTCTGCACTGTATAGATAAATTCTTCCAGATTAAACCTGAAATCTGACTATTTGGCTGTTGTAATTTTATTCTCCCTGGACTCCCTGAATAGGTCTGCCTTCCTTTGGTACTTACATTTTCCAGATTTTATTTAAAAAAAAAAAACACTTTCATGTCTGTATATCAAAATTTTGTATATCCAATTTTAACAGGAAATAAAGAAACAGAGAGCAACAGGAAGAACAAAAGATGGCGCCACATTCCCTCTCAGTATTGCTATCAGGAAGACAGATCCTGCCAAGGAGACAGACAGACTACCACCTCAGCCTCCTGACTTATACAGCATACCAAGAACCAGCACTGGGGGTGAGACATTGGAACTCTCCTGTCTTCTAAATATTAATAGACAAACATGTCCCTCTAGTTGATTTTAGCATGATACACTTACCACTATAATTTTCTTAGCATGAAAGGAGATATTTTAGTGATCTATTTCTTGCATGTTTTATTTCTTTAGAATATATTTATGTCATGGCATTTTATGTTCTAAGGTACACTAAACTGTTAATATTTACTTTTTAACATTTATTTATCCTTGTTTTACATTGACCCGTATGTCACCTGTCCTTCATTCGTAGTTGTGGCAAAATCTTTGCATGTATTTGTTTTCCTTCCCTCTCCATCCTCCAATTCACAGTATTTGATCTCTTTATGGCATGTTTATGTCCTTTTCTAATACCTTTTCGATTCACATCCAGTGGGGAAAAAAAAGAATCTAAGATCAGATGTGTTAGATACTTAATTACTTTGATAGTATCACTAATCTACTGCAGAAGTCAGAGAAGTATTGGAAAATTCTGAGTCTGATTTTTAAATTTAGCAGTAGGTTGGAGAAACTGTGATAGTAATTCAAAGATAAAGAAGAAATCGATCCAAAGATAAAGAAAAAAGCGATCCTTCAACACTATCTAAATTTGAAACAAGAGGCAAATTGTTTTGTTGGAGAGAGGAAGGGGCAAGGATTTCCTTTGAAATGGACCAACTCTTTATTTGTAGTCTCATGTCCCTCTTTGCATGCCTTCCTCTGTATTTTTATTTTCATTTTCTTCCCTGTGAAGATTCTAGTAACATATCTATGGTGGTGGGAGGGAGAACGCCTGATGTCGATGTGTCACTAGAGCCCTCTGGTGGCTGTATTAATGACGCCTTTGAGAGTAGTTTCACTCTGGACCAATCAGGTTTGTGAGGCATTGCTTGAGGAGATTTATCAATACTAGTAGATGTAATGTGAATGAAATTGTGATGGGTTTTGATATTTGTCCATTTTATGTATCTTTTTGTGTTTGTTATTAGAACCTAATGCCTTAAAGCTATGGTTTTAAGTGATATGTAAAAGTTTTTTTTAATGTTTTTTGTTTTACGATCCATGTCAACATCAGAGTGCTCTATACACCTTTGTAAATTTCAGAGTAGATTAATGAATAAATGAAATGCAGGTAGATGAATAGATCATATAGATGTACACCCTGTTTCCAGCTTCCTGCTTTTTGACAATTGTCAGGGGATGACTGAATAACAAAGTAGTGAATGCATTTGTTTTATAGGTGTATTCAATGAATATTTATTTTCTCTCTCTCTCTCTCTCTCTTTCTCTCTCTGATGTTAGTTTGTAACTGAGGGTCCGTGTAACAGAGAGTCCACTCTCCATTTAATTATACAGGTTAGGGTTAGCCTGACGTAAGTGGGTTAAAATCTAGGGCCAGGCTTACCTGTACAAATGAATGGGAAGCGGACTCTATCATGGGGGACTCTCTGTCGCATCACATATGTACTCTTGCTTTCTCTCTCTCTCTATCTCTTAAGCATTATTCTACTTGAGGTATAATTAGTACCACCAGCGTGTACGCTGGCGGTACTCATGGTTTTAGTCCCGACCCGTATCGTACGGCTCCGCCGGCTCCGCCGGCTCCGTAAGCTCCGCCGGCTCCGCAGGGTGGGG